TTGTATTTCTTCCTGGTCTGATAATGACACAATGGACAGGCTAATCAAAGCAAGTCATGTCTTATATTAACACATTAGTATGAGAGCTGGTTCAAAGCATGTCATGTCGACTTGTTGTCTTCATGCCTCTCTAATCTCACACCTCTAACCATTATGATGATGCTTTCACTTCCGGAATCTTATAGTTTCCGGGAGTGAAACGCACTCGGCTTCTTGGACTTCTTTCTGCTTTGGATATTGAAAGTGGATGGGTATTGATAGGGTCACATCCTTATGACACCTGTTTCATAGCAAGTCGTATGTTGATTCTGTCACCTCCTTATGACAGCTTTATCAACGGAAGTCTTTTGGACTGGATGTCTTGTGGGTTCTCTAATGTTCCCCTCCAAATCTTGGTGTAATCTTGTCTCACACTTCCGGTACTTTGTAGTCATCGGAGGTGAAATCCACTGGATTGTATTTCTTTAAGTTACTCCGGAAGTGAAATCCACTGGCCACCTTGAGACATCTTCATGACAGTGATCGGAATGCAATCAAGCCCCTAAGTATAGATAAGTTGCCTGTCACTTCCGCAAACTGGCAGTTTCCGGAAGTGAAACGGACTGGCTACGTAGCCTTTTCAAAGTCAGACATAAAGTCATAAACTCTCCATACCTTAATGATCCTCTAATCAATCTCACACTCCTCTGGCTATTGGGACAACGTCTTTCACTTCGGGTAACTTGTGGTTTCTGGAATTGAATCTTGACATAGCCTTTTCTGTCTTCATGATCTGCTCCACTCCCACCTCCAACTATCAGTGGGTAGGATGTCTTTCACTTCCGGAACCTCGTAGCTTCCGGAAGCTCCGACTCATTGCATTTCATTCTGGTCTCATATTGACTCATCTGTATGACAGCCTCTTCAAAGCAAGTCATGTGTTACAGACACATCTGTATGACAGCTTTTTCACAGCAAGTCATGTGGTCTTGGTGTCCTTCCTCATGATTCTGTAAACTTGCACCTCCATCTATTGGTACCTTGTCTTTCACTTCCGGCACCTTGTAGTTTCCGGAAGTGAAACGGACTGGACATCTTTTGTTCCTTTCTGGTTCTATATCTTTTACTTCCACTTTATCCAATGTGGCATTTGAATCATGATCTAAATTTCACTACTCACTTGACGTATTTTATTTTCTATCTTGTTCGTTTGTTATTATCTCAGTTGAATCCTTCCAGAAAACGATTTAGCAGTTATCTGTTTAGCACTGGGAAAATATTATTATATCTCCCTATTCGATGGCAAACGCTGCATGGATTGAGTGCCTCATTAGTATCTTCTTCATGTATATTCGGTCGTAGATTCATGCATCTGGGATTAAGTGGCTGCCCACTCGCCCGGAGTCCTGATTTTGGGAACTAATTAGACCTATTGAAGGTCTTAGGATCCGTTATCCATCACAGCAGCTTCTTCAGATTGTTCCCGTCGGCGTAGTGTCCAATTCAGCCGGTGTGGGTGGGGCGGCTACTCTACTCATTTTTAGTCCACTTCGTCTCATGATGGTGTATTCCACTTCCGGAATGCGGTTGTTTCCGGAAGTGTAACTGTCTGTATATCTAGTATTTCTTTGTCCACTTCCGCAATCTCTCAGTTCGCGGAAGTGGATTGGAGATCTCTCCTTCAGTTCAGGTTTTTCATTGGTACTCATTTCACCAATGAGGTGTTGACGCTTCTCTAAGCCTATGCCTCTACATCAAAGGCCCCTTCACTCCCGGAAGCTTTCATCTCGCGGCAGTGGATTGTGATCACTTCAATACCGGAAGCGTTCAACTCGCGGCAGTGGATTGTGATCTCTTCAACACCTATATCTGGATGTTTAATGCTACTCACGTCTACATTGTGGTAGGGCTGCCTTCTCTCTACCTCATAGTCGACTACATCTATCCCTCTACTCTTAGTCGACTTCACTCCCGCAAGTGTTCAGTTCGCGGAAGTAGATTTGGAACTCTTCAGCATAGCGGGGTGTTTAATGCTCTACTCATGTCTACAACAAGGTAGTCGACTTCGCCTATGTCTCTATCTCTACCTCGTCCAACTGTTAGCCGACCCCTTCTCTTGATTTATGTATCTGCCTTCTTCTTTACTATTGCTGTAGTCATGCATGTCACTTCCGGTGGATTGTCCTTTCAGCCAAACCGATCACCACCAAACCATCTCAACCCTCAGCCTCACGCAACACACTTACCTATCAGAGCTTCCGGTGCCTCATTGACTCGATTAAATGTTTGCTGCTCTCATGAGTTTGATTAATCCAGCGATCTTAGTTTCTTTAGAGGTCTTGAAGTCGTTCACCATCCCACTGTGAATATGTGGTTCACCTCCGTGATCTTGTAGTATCCGGGACTGAAAACGACGGCTTGCATCTTGTAGTCTCCGGGAACGGAAACGACACGGACATATATGTTTCTTATAGCTATTTTTGTTTAGAGGTCTTGTTGTTTTTCACCCTCCCTCTTTGTCCTTGTAATGCATGACTTCGGTGAAGTGATTGTGTGTTTAGACCTCCGGGATCTTCTAGTTTCCGGGAGTGGATATGACATCGACACCTATGTTTCTCTAGAGGACTGCTATGTTTCCAAAGCGGTGTTGATGATCTTCACAATGAATGCCAATATCAATCTTTTGTTTGAGGTGGGATTTCACTTCCGGGAGCTTGCAGTTTCCGGGAGTATAACGACACTAGGTTTCAAGTAGCATCCCACTCCCGGGATACTGTAGTTTCCGGGTGTGAAAGGGTTAGTCACTTGCCTTGGATTTTTGAGATGCAAAACGATCCGACTGACTTCCGGAAACTGCAAGTTCCCGGGAGTGACTCATCCTTGTATACCCATTTTGTCTGAAGCATGTACTCTGATAATCGAGTCAGTCAGTCAAGGCCTCGTGCTTGGATAGGGCCTTTTCAACACTTCCGGAAAGGTTCAGTTCGCGGAAGTGGTCTTTGATCTCTTGAGTATATCACGTTCGTTATTGATATCATTCTCTTAGTGGACTCATCTCTTGATGGTTTGTAATTCGACTTCTTTAATGTCTCTACTCCTTGGTTGATTTACTTTGGAGTAGTCGACTTCTGCTATTTCTCTACCTCTGAGTCGACTTCATCTGTGGCTTGACTCTTAGTCCACTTCACTTCCGGAAGGGTTCAGGTTGCGGAAGTGGGTTCCCATCTCATGTGTCAATCGGACATGTTGTATTTCTTCTCCTCAACTGTAGACTGTATATCTTGTATTTATTTTGTCTTATGCCTTCTAATTCCGAAAACGTTCAGTTCGCGGAAGTGGTTTGATTTGATCTGCTCAGTACTTCAGGTTTTTTTTCCATCCTGGTCACAAAGCCCATGCCACTACACCCTAAAAGGGTGACTGTGTTTACGTATTACGTTTCACTTCCGGGAGCTCTCAGTCCCCGGGAGTGTGATGACTGGTATCATCTCCCATCACTAGGGATACTGTGCCTACGTACACTATCATATCTGGTACATCCGTTCACCCACCGAGTGAAACCATGGCTGCGGCGCAGTGGGAGGGGCCCATCCTATCACCCTGAGCACCCGCACAGCTCCGAGCAGCCGCACCGCTCTGAGCCTCGCGCACTGAGCCCCCGCGCAGCCTCTGGAAGCCTCCGCTCCACCTGCTGCTCCAACCTTCCACCCCTGTTGCTCCAGACATCCGGTTGACACAATTGGACCCGTTACCATTCGATCACCACTCGAGCTGTCTATCGCAAATCTCAACCAACCGATTCAAAAGTAAGTGAGTGATCTTGTCTGCATCGAGTTCATGTTCTCTCTGGTCGTCGATTATGTTGGGCTGTTCTCAAGAGCTGACCATCTTCACCTTCCTCCCCTTTCGTCCTGACATCCTGCCTGTTTCCTCACCTGTCATAACCACCTCACCTTTATCGCTTGTCCGTTTGGCCGCCGATCTCAACGGTTCAATATTCGCCCATCGCAACTGTTCAACATCAGTACTCTGCTTCAGTTTGTCTTTGTTCTCTCTCGTGCTCATTTATGTTCGATCGTTCTGCTGACCCTCTCCTTCTGCTTCCGTCTCTCAATCAATCAACCAATCCCTCGACTGGTCATTCGGTCATCGTAACTGATCATCATCTGTTCTGTGCTTCAGTTTGTCTGTGTTTTCTCTCGTCGTCATTTGTGTTCGATCGTTTTCATGAGCTGACCCTCGGCTTCTGCTTTGGCTTCTGCTTCCGACCGTCTTCAAATCAATCCCTTGTCCTGTTAATCGCCGATCTTATCTGATCAACTTCAGAACCTCTGTCTGCTTCAGTTTGTATGTATTTTCTCTGGTTATCGAACCTGTTCAATTGTTCTCATGGGCTGACCTTCTGCTTTGCCTTCCACTCCCGCCTGACTATCGATGAATCCCTCGATTGGTTATTCGCTGCACTCCCCTTCTTTCAGTCCCTCCACCGGTTAATTGCCTATCTCAACTGATCTACTCCAGATCTCCGCTTCGGTTTGTATGTAGTCTCTTGTGTTATAATCTTTTCGAATGTGCTCATGAGCTGACCTTCGGCTCCTCCTCTGACTTCCAACTATCAATGAATCCTTCGATTGGTTGGTTAATCGCTGTCTTTTCTCGGGTCGTCCATTCTGATCGATTGTTCTCACCTTTTGCTTCTGCTTCTCCTTCCGACTCTCCATCATTCAGTGCCTTGCTCGGTTAATCGCCTGTCTCAACTGATCAACACCAGTTCTCCGATTCTGTTTGTATGTAGTCTCTCTGGTTCTACAATCGTTTCGATTGTTCTCAAGAGCTGATCTTCTGCTCCTGCTCTTACTTCCAACTATCAATGAATACCGCGATTGGTTGGTTAATCGCTGATCCAAACTGATCATCATCAGGATTCTGCTTATGTATGTATTTTTTCTGGAGACCTTTCATGGTCTGTCGAGTGCTCACACGTTTCTTTGACTTCATCCAACAGCTTGAACGTCGTCCACATGGCGCACGATACTTCCAACGCGTCCTCCCCTCACTCCGATCCGTTGCCAGCCGATCATGGTCCCCCTTTTTCTTTGCCTGAAGACATCCCTTCTTCTATCTCGGAAGGCCACCAAGGTAGGTTTCACTGCGACTTCCTTCACTGATCTCGCTTGTCTTGACTCGTGCTTGTCACAGTATGTAGATTGGTTTTGGCTGACTCTGCTCCTCTGCTTGGTCCATCTAGCTATCAATGATGGTTTACCGTTCAAACAACCGCAGCCCACCAGTAAGGATCTTCAAGAGAAGACTTCCTCCAGCGCGGCCACCGTAAGTCCACTCGGTGGATTATGGGCTGCCACTCAGCTGGGTTAGTTCACTGATAATATGATCTCATCGCTGTGTATCCCAGGGTGCCAAAACGGTTAAGAGATCGGAGGAATGGAAGGTCCCACCTCCCAAGCGACTGGCTCGAGTGGTCAATGCTCACCAGAAGACAGTATCTCCGTCGGTGAGTCTTCTCAGTCTTGAGGCTCTGTTCTCCTGTATTCTTATTCATTCTGGTCTTTCCCCCGGATTGTCAGGTGCAACGACTGGTTAAACCCGGGAAGTCAAAACCCACCGCAGATGAATTCCGTTCGACTGGCCGGGATGGGGCTGCGTTAGACCCCGCGTTATCGGCCGATGAAGAGGATGTGAATGTTGCTGACGAAGAGGAGACTGGCTCGCGCTCTTCTGCACTGATCAACAAGGTATGAATGTCTCTCTCATGTCTCTGGTGACTGCTCTTATCAGGTTGCATGTTTATTGTTGTGTTGTATTTTGTAGATGAAGTCCCTCATCAAAGAGACACCCAAAAAGGCTCTCAAGAAGAAGACGGCCAACAAGTCCAACCCGTTGCGTTTGGGTTCCATGGACGTTGATCCACCTGTGACCGATAAGCATCAGGCATCCACGCATGCAAGAGGGGGTTCGATGCCCTTGACCAAGGTTGGCTTAGTTCTATCTCGGCCCTCCATTATCGTCCTCACCTTACCGCGTTCTGATGTGTTTCTCTTCACTATCTCTTTCAAGTTTGACTCTCAAGGCCTCAAATCGTCATCCGCAGGCCAGAAGACTCCTAAGGACAAGATGCCCGCCGAACGTTCAGACAAGATGAACATTGATCCTCCCGCTCTCGCAAGGCTCAAAGCGACCTTTGCTATCCCTGCTGCCTCGACTGCCAATCAGCTCCAGGAGCCTGCTGCCAATCCTTCTACTCCGGCCCGAATGGAAAACGTCAACAAATATCCGGCTGGACTCACCCGCGGGGGCCCCGAAACTACCCCCGGTAATCCTGGTCACCTAACCAGAACTCCCTCGACCGCGACTACCATCTCAAATTCCGTCCTACCTAATTTGGCTAAAGCGTCTCTAGCTGACATGAAGGCAATGCGCGGGATTTGTAAGTCTTTGACATCATACTCATCTGCCCAGTGGGAATCATCTACTAATCTAATCTGGGTTTGCAGGGATAAGGGATAAGGAGAATGCCGCTGCCAACGTTTCTGAGCTTCGAAGGGCGGGCCATCACTTGATTGCACCGGCTGCCTATGAATACCAAGATCGACACCTCAGGAGGGTGACCAGGTTTTGTTCCCAGCTGGATCGCAAGATTGAAGAGTCGGAGCGCACCGGTCTAGTGGAGGAGATTGAAGTCATTGACTTGACGGAAGAGCCGGACGATCCTACAGAGAACAGTGTGGTTGGGTTGACGGGTGCCAAGAGGCCTATGGGTAAGTCTGAGTCCTGCTAATGCTTCAAGGGACATACATCTAACTATTTGTTGGCTAATTCGGCTTGCTTGTTTATTATGATTCCAGAGGGGTCGTCATCAATGGATGTTGATGACAGCCCAGTTGAGTCCAAGAAGGCTCGAACTTCTGGTCAGTGCACACCTGTTCTCCTGGCTTTGCCATGTATGCTGAGATATAGGGGTGGTTCTTCAGGCTTGGCTCCCGTAAAGATTGATCCTCCAAACCTGGGCCCTTATGGCTTCCGTTCCATTCCCGACAAGGATGCCGCTCTCGCTGGACTTACTCCCCGCTTCCCTGTCAATAAACAGCCAACGATTTCGGAGTTCATCAGTCAATCTAATCCATCTCTCATGCAGCCTCTGCCGATGTCTAATCCTCCACTCCAGCCGACAAAGGGTTCTTCTTCCTCTTTGGCTAAAGGGAAGTTGTCTCCTGTTGTGGTGATCAATTCCTCATCGGCGGCAAACCTTCGGTCAACTCCTGCCTCCTCCCATTCAACTGCGCCGGAGAATGTCAACTTGTCATCTGCCCAAGGAATGGCCAGCACCTCTTCTCTAGTTGCGGCTTCTACTTCGGTCCCAGCTCTCGGTCCTTCTTCGCTCGAGTCGTCTTCTACTTCTAATATCCATGTCTCAGCGCCCTCCGGTCCTCAAACCTCCAAGAAGTCTTCTCACCCTTCTGCTGCTTCTAAGTCTAAGGACGTGCGGTCATCTCAACGTGTTACAAGGGGCTCCTCGGGGACCTCCAAACCAACTTCGGCCTCAAAGTCTAAGGATGTCATCTCTAACACTCCAGTTCCGCCGGCCACCAAGGATGTTGCTCCTGCTTCGACAGACATTCCTCCAGCTACGAATGATGTTCCTCCAGCCACGAAAGACTTGCCTGCTAACTCTACTCTGGACGACTCCGCTCAACGTTCTCAGGGCGGTCAATCAATCAATGCGCCTTCTGCCTTGCCTCCATCTGGGAGGGTGTTGCCGAATTCGACCTTGCCTGAAAATTCGGCTCAGAACAAGGATAAGGATGTTGTTGACGAGGGGGTGGACGAGTTGGAGGAGCTGTCAGACAGGGAGGAAGCTCCAAAGAAGCGAGGTGGTAAAGGGAAAGGGAAGGCCCAGAAGAAGACTCCGAAAACACCAAAACCGCCAAAGACGCCCAGGCTTAAAGTGTCCGAAATGACGCCGGAACAGAAACTCGAGCGGGATCGAAAGGCAAAGCAGAGGAAGGAGGAGAAGGATAATTGTGTGTATGCAATCCCTCCTCAACCAGGTGGTAAGTTTGTTTCTCTTCCATTTGCCATTGTCTGGTGCGTATCCTCAATGGGTTTTCTCTGGGTCTGTTCAGCTTTATTAGCTCCAATGTGGCCCCCGCTAACGTGCGAGGAGGCTCGGATAGCTCACAAGGACATGCTGGTCAAATCAAGGAATCCTCACTGGAACTACGGCCCCGAACTCATGGACAGGGTGGCAAAGATTGTGAAGGCTTTTGGAGACGATTTCGAGGATGACGAGTTTTACACGAAAATGGATAACTTTAAGCCTGACTTGGAAGCCATCCAAGCCTTTGGCTTGGTGTATAAGGATGAGTTTTTGAACTTGATTCCAACTTGTATGTGTTTTTTTTTTGGCCCTGGCCTTTCTGGATGGTGAGATGAGTTTAGAACTGATTTTGATGTTCTCCTTAAGGCCCAAGGCTTGTGCAGGTGGACGCAGCCGATCCGTTCTTCAAAGAAGGTGTTGTAGATCTGTCGATGATTAAGGCGGCACATGACTCGGACGACAAAGTCAAGGCCTCATCTTGGCAGTGCTTGTACGGAATGATGATCAGGACGGATGAGCACAGCGATTATACTGAGGATCCGCATACGGTCAAGGCGATCGACTCGTCGTTTCGGAAGATCCACACTCTCACCCAGTCTTGTTTCGACCACTTCCATCACTATGTTCTACCTAGCAACAAGCCGGTCTGCGACACATCCGCAACTTGGAAGCAAGATACGATGTTTCAATCTGGCGAGTTTGTATTGGCGAAAATCAAGGCCTTGAAAGCTGGTGCCCAGGGAACTGCTAGCCATGGGAATAAACGAACGGGAAACGGCCTTATGATCTTACAGAAACGGATTTGGGAGACTCTTTTCTGCTGTCTGATGATGCAACAAGCGCTTTTTCTAGACGATCTCGACCACTGTATCAAGACCAAGTCCTTTCCGAACAAAACGATGGTTGTTTCTCAATACATGACAGCAGAAGATCGGGGCAAAAGTCTGTTCAAAACCGGAGACGTGAAGGACCTCAAGGACTCTAAGGCTCTCATTGACTGGGGGCAAGATCGTCTGGCGGCCTTTGGATCGATGGCGATTTTTTTCTTGTATGGTGCGGCTGGTTGGTGGCAGTGTCTGACTGACTCCCACAACTATAACCAAAAGGATGTCTGGGCACTGGTGTATATTGCTGAAGCTAAGGCGGATTGGCTTTACAATAACGGTCACTACCACGAGAGGACCCCTCAAGACACGCCATGGTACCGGATCGATGGCTTTGTGCGTTGGCTACTCCACAAGACTAACATGCATCTCAGACTCACGGCAACGACAGACACGGTCGATTGGCAAGCGGCGCCCCGATTCTGGAATCAACATGTGACTGAACAAACGATTGCTAGGCTAGCGCTGCAAGACATACTGGCTGAAGTCTGTTCGAAGAGTCCACGCAAGTCACTCAATTTTAATGGAGAGGCGGCGCCAGATGTTGTGGTAGACAAAGAAGATAAGCCACTCGTTGACGAGTTCCGATCGACTCTTACCTGCGGTTGGAATGCTACGATTCGTGCCAATGAAGATGCAATGACTAGTCAGCCTGGGCCTGGTGAAGAGGAAGGAGAAGCTAACGGCGGCGGTGAAGATGAAGAGGTTGCTAATGGCGGTGGTGAAGATGAAGAGGATGCTAACGGCGGCGGTGACGATGAAGAAGACCCTGACGAAACTCAGGAAGAAGGTGGATTCATCCGACCAAGTCATAGCGGGCGTTCAGAGAACTCTTTTTCGACCAGGCGAGGTGGCACCCCCAGCGAGTCTTCCTCAAGTTCGGACGAGAGTCAGGTCAAGGTCAAGTTGACTCAGACTAAGGGACGTATCAGGCACCCGAAGCGTTCTTTGGTCCCTTCTTCCAGCTCTAGCTCAGGCTCTAGTGGTGAGGACGAGGAAGAGACAGACATTGCAAGATCTGACACTGATGGTGGATTAGAAGAGAGAAGCAGAAGACGTGCGGAGCACCCGATGATTGAGTACTCTGCAGGTGTATCAAGGAAGAAGTAGGATAGGCCTCTTTGGTTTCCTCCCATGCTATTGTTTCCCCTTTAGTCTTGTTTATGTCTGTTAGCCCCTCCTATCTGACTGTTAGACTTGATGCCATCTTGGCCTGAGTGGGTGGTGATATTTCTTATTTTGCTGTTGTCCTTCCCTTGAATGTGATTTCATAGTGTCTGGATGTGATTTTTCCTGTGTCATGATCTAAATGAAATTCACAAAGTCACTGATGATTATTCCCCACTTTGTTATCTGGGTTGGCCTTTGGGAGTATCTTGGTTATTTTGGACCCATACCTTTGATGACAAAACACATCCTGGGGTCCACTAAGTGCACAGTAATGCACTTCCTAGAACTTGGGTTTTTGGGGAGTCAGTTCAATGCTTTTTTTTTTGGAAGAGACTTCATTTTTTTTTTTTGAAGTCACTCCTTTTTTTTCATGAGGATGCCATTTCACTTCCGGAAACTTGTAGTTCCCGGAAGTGACTGATTTTTTTTTTTTTTGGTGGTGACTTCATTTTTTTTTTTAATGAGGATGCCATTTCACTTTCGGGAACTTGAAGTTTTGGGGAGTGACTTCAAATTGTTTTTTTGTTTTTTTTTTTTTGAGTCACTCCCTAGAACTTGGGTTTTTGGGAAGTGACTTCATTCTTTTCAAAAAATCTTGTTCCTGTCACTCACTTCCTAGAACTTGGGCTTTTGGGGAGTGACTTCAATTTTTTTTTGGAAGTGACTTTGATCTTCATTTTTTTGTTAAATGAGGATGCCATTTCACTTCCGGGAACTTGAAGTTTTGGGGAGTGACTTCAATTTTTTTTTTTTTTTTCTTTTTGAGTCACTCCCTAGAACTTGGGTTTTTGGGAAGTGACTTCATTTTTTTCAAATTTCTTTTGTCTGGTCACTCACTTCCTAGAACTTGGGTTTTTGGGGAGTGACTTATTTTTTTTTTTTTTGGTTTGAAGTGGCTTCATTTTTTTTTTGAGCTCACCCACTTCACTGT